ACATCTACTCCGACCCCATCTAGGAAGGCCCCTATCTCAGAGGAGGAAAAAGTCGCAATGCCGCTACCCGTCGCTCGTTTACCCCCTCTTCGGGCCTCCGCTGAGGCCCTCGTTGCCACCGTCGCCTCGATCTGCTGGTCAAAGTGCACCCCGGGAGAGGTCTGCGGAGTGGCAGTGCCGGTTCTTTTTGGTTTCTCCATATTCCTACTCCTTTGTCACGTGTTCCCCCTCCTGCTTCTTCTGCTCCTCCTCCTCCGCCTCCTCCCGCCATCTCAGGCCCACGCCACCACCTCTTCCTCCCTCTTAGCCTCACCCTCTCCTTCCGTCCCTATTCAATCCTCGCTCCTCCTCCCCTCGTCCTCGTCCTCGTCCTTCTCCTCCTCCCTTCCCCAAACCCCTCGTCCGGCCTCTAGGCTGCGTTTGGTGTTTCTTGGGTGTGGTTCGCCATTTCTGGGCCTTGGGAGGTTTCTCGAGACCTAGCTTTGAATTCCAATGACATTTTGATCAGAACGCACCCCAATACAAGTCAAGGGGTCGATCTTCGATCCTGGGTTTTCCCCCCACCCCCCCCCCCCCCCCCCCCACCCACCCACCCACCCCAGGCTTCCAAAAGACTGACTCTGAATCTGGGTGTTTTTCCTACTTTCGGGTTCTGGGTGCCTATGTTGGGACCCCAGATTGATTAATAAGTGACCCAGCATGACAAAGTGCCCTCGAGGAAGGGGTCGAAACCCATGCGGCCCGCGGATTGAGGACATCACATTGATGAATGCCTGCGTCTCCTTTTTCTCGGACCCCTCTTCCTCCTCTCGAGACAGATGTTAGCCAGCGTGGGCTCGCAACAGTGCTGTTCAACATGCGAATCATGCGGTGCAATCTACGTAGTGCAATCTACGTGGGCGTGGTGTAATCTGTGTGGTGCAATCGATGTGATGCCATCTACGTGGTGCAATCTATGTGTTGCAATACAATCTGGTGACGGGCGGCAGCACAGTGCAAAGCACTGCGGAGCAATGCGAAGAAATGCAAAGCAATGCAACGCAATGCAAAGCAATGCAACGCAATGCAAATCAATGTAACGCAATGCAAAGCAATGCAGAGCAGTGCAGAGCAATGCAGAGCAATGCAAACCAATGTAACGCAATGCAAAACAATGTAAAGCAGTGAAAAGCAATACAATGCGATTCAAAGCAGTGCAGACCAATGCCAAACAATGCCAAGCAATGCAGATCAGTGCAAGGCAATGCGACGCAATGCAACGGCATGCTGCGCAAAAAGCAATGCAGACCAATGGCAAAGCAAGGCAACGCAATGCAAATCAACGTCACGCAGTGCAGATCAACGCAAAGAAAGCGGTGCAATGCAACGCAACGCAACCCCATGCAAAGTAACGAGGGCCCAGATGGCGACGGGGCGGCGACGGCGACCACATAGAGCCGTCAGGTCGACGGGCGGGCTCAGAGCCACGGGGGGCGGTGACACGGCGACCACGTAGCCGCCAGCTCGACGGGCAGCCCCAGAGCTCACGGCGGCGACGCTTCGCGGCGACGGGGCGGCGACGGCGACCACCTGGCCGCCAGACCGACGGGCAGGCCCAGACCCTCAGAAAAGAAGGAAGAACCCCCCAGTGCAAGCACTGTGTCTGGGGGAAGGGGCCTCCGAGGTCCGCGTGGGCCTCTTGTGCCTGCGCTGGCCCCCCCTTGTCGGCGCCTCCGGCGCCGCCCTGGCGCGCTTCGGGAGGGGGGGCCCAGCGACGACCCGCGCGGGCCTCCGAAAATTCGTAAGGCTACGCGGTTTCTTGCTGCTCTGTCCTTCTGCTTCCCTCCGTCAGAGCCGTCCGGGTCATCTTCTGGGCATCGCTCGGACGTGTGCATTTGTTCCTGGCGGGGGCCATCGAGGAGCATCTTGGGCCATCGCGCGAACAAGCGGAAACACGCACGACGCCGAAACGTGCACGGGGACAGGGCGTCCGAGCGATGGCGAGTCTTCGGCCTCTGGTGACCGCCCACCACACCACCCCGACCCAACCCGAAGGCCCCGATGTGCCCTCCCTCTCCGGTGGGGGGGGGGCGGGGGACAGGGACAAAGCGCACATGAAGCCCTGACCCCCTCCAACGCGAAATTCGGGTCTTCGGGTCGGCCTCCTCCGCCAGAAACCTCCACCTCTCATCGCACCCTCCCACCAGGGCAGCGCCACCACGACCCCGCTGAGAACCACAAGCCCCGAAGCCGTCCGTCGACGCGTCGCTGACGTGCACGAGGCTATTCCAGGGCATACGTGTACTTTATTAGTGAATTTAACTGGCTTTAGGGTTTTCACAAATGGTCGCAGCCACGCAGAGCGCGTGCGTAGCGACGCCCCAAATGCTCGGTCTCCAGTACTTTACGCGGCGGCGCCCCCGCAGGCACGCAGAGGGCACGCGTGGCGACGGGGGCGTCGCCACGCAGAGCTTCTAAAGACCAGACATTTTGAAAACCAATTGCTTCCACTACTACAGTACTGTGGCCATCCGGTGCGCCGCGGGCGCCGCGGGGAGGGGGTCGGAGCCGCGGGGGCCCGCGCCGCCGCGGCTCCCGCGGCGTCGGGCGGGAGAGCGCGGGGGGGCGGCCGCGGAGCGGCGGGGAGTGTCTCCCCGGCCGAGCGCTCCCGCCGTCGCCCCCCGCCTCTCGCGGCGATCCCGCCTGTGTCCTCGCCGCTCGCGCTCCTCGGATGCCCAGTCATCCCTCCTCCTCCTCCTCCCTCCTCCTCCCTCCTTCTCCTGCCTCCTCCTCCTCCCTCCTCCTCCTCCTCCTCCCTCCTCCTCCCTCCTCCTCCTCCTCCTCCCTCCTCCTCCTCCCTCCTCCTCCTCCTCCTCCTCCTCCTCCTTCCTCCTCCATTTATTTCCTTATAAGTACCGTCTCCCTGTCGCACCCCGAGGCTCTAGGGCGGGCCGGGCGTTTCGCCTGAGACTTCCTCTCCATGGATGATTCTGAAGCTGACACAATGGCAACAGTTTCACAGGTGGAGGGTAGGCCGTTTTCAAAATGTGGCTCTCGCCTTAGCGCCGCGCACATTCAATTTGCAAGAGTTTCGCGGATTGAGTGCGGGCCGTTTTCAAAATGTGGTTCTCGCTTGAGCGCCGCGCACATTCGTTTTAAAACTTGGCAAGAGTGTCACGGATTGAGGGCGGATCGTTTTCAAAATGTGGTTTCTCGCCTGAGCGCCGCGCACATTCGTTTATAATCATTGCTATGGTTTCACGGACTCCCATGCTCAACGTACCAGAAATGGTGTTCTAGTAGGATTATTGTGGTGCAACAGTTAAGTGGGTTCGCGGTGTTGAAGTCCCAAGAATTGCGTTTTGGCACGATTCAGGATCGCCAAGACGCAACAGTCAGGTTGATACGTGGCGTTGGAATCCCGAGAGCAATGTTTTGGCGTGCTTCAGGGTCTTCAAACGGTTGTCTTCCAACGATGCAGTTCCCTCAATAGAAATGAGCCGTTGTAGGGGCCTATGAAGAGGGAGTTTGGAGGGAGGGTTTATTCCAACATCTTTGATGACTCAGGTTCGGCTCAAGTCGGCGGGCGCTCGGCGCGGCCTCAGCGCACGAGTGGGGAGAGTGGTTCTGGGGAGGTTGCCAGAACAGGCATCCGACTCTCCCGGCCTCCCTCCCTGGTCGTTGCTGCTTGCCGGCTGGCCCGCCCAGCCTCTCGTCCGCTCGCTGCGTAGCCGCGGCTGGGCGAGGACAGCACGGGGGCTCCCCGTCACCGGGGGTCCTCTTCCGCCCGTCGTCGACTTCGACTCGCGCGGCAGGTCGTTCATCTCCGAGGCTCTTCTTTCGCTGTCTGGTACAGGCCCGACCCGATCGCCTCTTGGCCCCCTGCCTTTGGGCTTCGCCACTGCGGCCGGATCCGCTTCGGGATCCTGGTCGGAGCGCGCTCGGGGAGCTGCCCGGGGCATGCCGCGTCTGCGAGGGGGTGCGGTCCTCCTCGCCCTCCCGGCGCCCGTGCAGCACAACCTGCCTCTCTGCTGCCCCGTTCTTTCTTGCCTTCCTCCTCTGCCCCGCCTGCCTGGCCGTTTTCCGTCCAGTCATGTCTGCCTTCAGTCCTGACTTGTTCGTTGATGCTTTTTTTTTGTCTCTCTCTCTCTCTCTCCCTCTCTCTGTCTCTCTCCCTCTCTCCCTCTCTCTCCCTCTCTCTCTTGCTCTCCCTTTCTCTCTCCTTCTCTCTCTTGCGTTTTTTTTTTTTTTGTTGTTTCCTCTTTTTGTTGTTGTTGTTTTTTTTGTTCTCTCTCTCTCTCTCTCTCCCTCTCTCTGTCCCGCCCCGAGGATGAGTATCGACAGGAGGATTTTGCCTTCCTTCTTCCATACGTGCATGCGTGTATATATATACACAGATCTATATACATGTACGTATGTCTCGGAGGAGAAGGAGGAGCCTGAGGATACGGAATGATATAACCCCATCTTTCACTCTCTGGCAGTCGTTATTTAATCGCTTCGCTCATTCCGCCGGCCTTGGAGCGCTATTTGGGGCCTCTTGGGGCCGTCTTGGGGGCTTCTTGGGGGCTTCTTGGGAGCGTCTTGGGGCTTCTTGGCGGCGTATTGGGCTCTCCTGTGGGTCTCTTGGGGGGCTCTTGGGGGCCCCTTGGGGCGGGAGGGGCGGTAGTTGATTGCAGCCCCCCCCTCGGAGGCCACGATCCTCGCGAGGGGTGGCGAAAAATAGCCTCCCCCCTGGGGATCGTCCGGGACCCGGCCGGGGATCAGCCGGGGTACTTTTCGTCCGGGGCCCCCCAGGGGCCGCCCCGCGCGCGCGAACTAGAAATATTGTTAAGTAGTTGAGATCTTAGCACGCCTCTGGCCCGTTGGGCCGGCGAATTCATTTCTCTCTTTACCCATCGTCTCCCCTCCCTCTTCCCACTCGCTCTCTCTCTATCTCTCCCTCTGTCGTTGGTCTCGTCTCTTGCCGCCATCGCGGAGAATCCTCTATTCGATGCGTGTGTGCGCGTCCCGTTTGTCCCATGATGTCGACTGTCTTCATGCACATCGCATTTAGCAGCATGATAAAGGCACCAGCTGCCACCGCAGACGGCGGAGTGTTGCCCACTGGGGCCCCTGCTGTGACTGGTTCAGGCTCCGCTGGTCTGGACGGGGGCCCGTGGGATTGCTGCCTCTCTCGGCGAGGTCATCAACAGCGAAGCCGTCCAGCTTGACCAGGCGCGCCGGGCGTACAAATGCGGCCCACCATCTGATTGTTGCTTGAGCGATGCGTCGGTTCGGCCGGGGGCCCCCTTGATCACTCGATCCTCTTGGTGCCTGCCGCGGCAAGTCGTTGGCTAAGACATGTGAATTCTGTCCCGCCCCGCTCCACCTCGAGAGCATGTCTTCGCCCGGAGCCATGGGCAACAGCGGTTGTATGGAGTTTGCCTGCGGCAAGTTCCGCCACCGTGCCAGCGCAGCGCCCTGTGGCGACGCTTCGGGCACCGCCTAGGAGGCCGCAGCGAGTGGCGCCTCTCTCTCTCTCTTCCTTGGCGGGCTCTCGTGGGCGCTGTCTGGACCGTGCTGGGACTAACTCGAGCTCCTGCGGGGCCCGGGACCCTCTTGGGCCGTCTCGGGGCACTCTTGGGCTGTTTCGGTGCCGACTTCGGCCGTTCTGGGTCCCTGTGGACCGTCTGATGAGTTTCCTGGGGCTGTCTTGGGAGCCTCGTGGGGCCCGCCGCACGCCTTGGGGGCCATCCTTGGGCCCTTGTGGGCCGTTCGGGGGCTTCTTTTGGGGCCATCTCGGGGGGCCTCTTGGGGCTGGCCCTGGGTGCCGTTGGGTGGCTTCTTGAGCCCTCGTTACTGGCTATTGTGGCATCTCCTCGGTCCTTGTGCTCCTCCGATGCCCTCTTTGGAGCCATTTTGAGCCGAGAGGCTCGGAAGACGCATATGCTTCGAGTAGGAGATCGACGGCAGAGTTGACTTACCAGCGATTTTCATATGCTTTGAATTGGATGACTTTGGCCTTCCTGGAGGGCCTGCTGGCCTTCCCCATTAACGTCTCGGAAACATTCCGGGGGGGGCCTTGGTTTTTTTTGTTGGGTCCTCTTGAGGTCTGTTGGGGTGCCATGCTGTGGGTCCTTGAGGTCTGCTTTGGTTGGGTCCTCTTGAGGCAACTTGTGGGCCATGCTGGCGGCCTTGGTGGCCTTCGTTGGTCGTCTCGCAAGCCCTGGGGGGCCTTGCACACCGCCCATCGGACGCGCCAGGGCGGCCCGGAGGCTTCCTCGCAGGAGGAGGCGCGGCAGACCTCGGCTCTCCCCTTGCCTGCTCGGCCTCCTGCTCATGCTCCTGCTCCCCCCGCTCCGCCCGCGAGCCCTCCCCCTCCCGCCCGACGGCAGGAGACCGCGTGCGGGACGCAGGCCAATGGGCTCGACTGTGCAGACATTCGCGTGCTCGCTGCCTGCGTGAGATGGGGAGCCGCGCTGGCGGCCCGCGAGAGGCGTCGCGCAATCCACCGCGCAAGGTCGCCGTGCCATCATGTGTCGTGGGTGAGTCGGTCCCCTTTCTCTTCGCTGATCACGCGCGTACGGTGTGTGCGCTCCAGGAGGCCACGCAGCGTCACACCCCTCTGGGGATGCCGGACAAGCGTGGCGAGGGCTCGCTTGGCGCGTCTCAGGGTCTTCGGGGCGCCTCGCAAGGCTCTTGCAGCCCACGCCAAGAGCGCCGATGGCGCGTCGTACTTATCTGGGGACGCACGCGAGACGATTTTCCGCTTAGCGTGGACCCGCGTCGCCCAACTGCACACGGTAGACGTGGCATCCTAATCGTATGTCGAGGCGAAGTTAATGTGGAACAGGGGAACACGCAACAGCCGCCCCGCCCCTTTTCCCCTTCTGCTCCTGCCCTCCCCCCCCCTCCCCTCTCTCTTCGCACAGTGCATCCTCCCTGCTCGTCCCTCCTTCTCTGACCCTCCTTCTGCTTCCTCCCCCCCCTCGTCCCCCCTCCCCTCTTCCTCGCACGATGGTAGACTGACGAGCTGGCGCCACGTCCGCCCCTGCCGAACATGGCTGTGGCACTGTGGGTCTGTCTTGTCTCTCGCCCCCGCTCTGCGCCGACCTTGGCCTCCCGCTCCGCAGACCATCTGGCCCCCCACCCCTATCGACCCAGTCCAAGCCTACCGTCCCCTGTCACCGCCTCTTCCTCGTCGTCGCCGTCATCGTCGTCGTCATCGTCGTCGTCGTTGTCGTCCTTCTTAGTATCCTCCTATCCTCCTCATGCTCCTTCTCCTCTTCGTCCCCCTCCCCCCGCTCCCACGAACCGCGCACAGCCCCCAAAGATCTCCTAACCCATTCCCCTTCCCCTTTCTTTTTCCCTTTTCCCTCGTCACCGCCTCCTCCTCCTCCTCCTCCTCCTCCTCATCCTGCTCCTCCTCTCCTTCCTCCCTCGTCATCGCCTGCTCCTCCTCCTCGTCCTCCTCGTCCTCCTCCCCCACCTGCCTCGTCCACCCCTCCTCCTCCTCCTCCCTCCTCCTCTCCTCACCCCTCCTCCTCTCTCCCCTTCCTCCTCCTCCTCCTCTCCTCCTCCTCCTCCCTCCTCCTCCTCCTTCCTCCTCCTCCTCCTCCTCCTCCTCCTCCTCCTCCTCCTCCTCCTCCTCCTCCTCCTCCTCCCTCCTCTTCCTCCTCCTCCTCCTACCTCCTTTCCAGGCACTGTGATCGACGACTAACGCCAGAGCAAGCATGCTGCCCCTCCGATGAGCTGCTGCCCCTCCGATGAGCCCCTGCTAGTCAACCTCTTCTCCCTCCCCCTCGGTGTCTACTCCGATCTGGCCGATCCGATCGTGCCCTGATTCTGGCCAGCCCGATCCCATTCGACTCGGATTTACCGACTGTCCGATGCGGCCTATGCCTGCATGGCGCCGTTATGCATCTTGGCGCGGACCATCCGATTCAATTCCAGCTCCGTGCCGATTCGGACCGGTCCGACGATTTCTCCGACCCGAGCCGATTTCCCGTTTCCGTTTCCATGCTGACTGATCTTGTTTTTTGTCATTTGGGGGGGAAGTGAGGAGGGGTGGGCTTTCTCAAACGGCTCGGAAGTCTTTGGGCCTTCGGAAACAAAGTATTCTGAGCCTTCCCCGAACACGCAGAGAAAGCCTCTCAGCACTCGCGAGGGCTGCTGAGAAGCCCCGCAGCCTTCTCGGAAGGCCTTCTCTCATCGAGAACAAAAGAACCCCTATCCTTCATACCATAGTGAATATGTGGCCTCACTTAGGTCCCCGTCTTTGCATTAGGGGTAATGGTCCTGGGCGGTTTGGCTTGCTACATCTGCAGAACAGACTCCTATCCCTGATGCTTTTGGCCCTCCTAACTTAGGTCCCCTCCGAGAGTGTTAGGGGTCCTGTTACAGTGGGGGCTCATGCCAAGAAACACCCTGCTTGCCTCCGGGGTGCCCTGGGTTTCTTGGGTTTCGATGGCTGTGCTGTAGACAGCGTGAAGTTCCCACACCAAACATCAGTGGACGGCCTGGGGTCTCAGGTGCTTGGGTTTCTCATGGAAGGTTTCTCGTGGTCGGGCCCCTACGGTCGGGGCGCCTTGGCAGGCCAACCCTGCAGACACGAGGGTAACCTCTGGTGTCCTGTCCATCACTCCTCGTGTCCTCCTCTGCGTGCTCGGACTCTCCTGGTGCCCCTGTGTCCTGCCATGTTCTCGCCTCGCCCGCCGCCAACCTCTGCCAGGTGGCGGCCGCCCTCAGGGGGGCACTCTTGTGTCATGTCCATCACTCCTCGTGTCCTCCTCTGCGTGTTCGGACTCCGAGGGTGCCCCTGTGTCCCGCCATGTTCTCGCCTCGCCCGCCGCCGCCCTCTGCCAGGTATCCGCCGCCCTCAAGGAGTCCGGCTGGGAGCTCGGCGCCCACGGCGGGGGCGGCGCAGACGGGGGGGCGCTTCGCCGCCTCCCCCTGGCCAGCGTCCTCGCGCGCCTGCCGTTGTCCTCGGCCCTCCGCCGCCGCCGCCCCCGTTGTCTTGAAGGGGCCCAGGGGCACAGACACACACAAATGCACACAGATCCCAGGATCCCCCCTAGTCTCGAATAGCTTCTGGGCTTCCTCCTCCCCCCCACTTCCCAGAGCTCCCATATGTTCATGGATGTGTGTGTGTGTTTTTGCCCCCTCCTGATTCTTCTTGTCCTCCTCCTGTCGCTATCGTTGTGGGCTTCGGGGCTCCGATCGAACGCGGCCGTTGCCTCCGCCCAGAGATCCGACGCTCCGCACAATGGGAGCGGCGGGCCCCTGGCCGTTTTCGGCCTCTGGGGGCCCCCGCCGTGTCTTTAGAGGGCCAACTGCGAGCCCTACCCCTGCCCCCCACGATTTCTGAGGGGGAGGGCTCGCAGTTGCCCCCCTAGTCTTGGGACCGTCAAAAAATGACCCAGGACGAAAAACCGGCCCCAGGGAAGTGGACCAGGCCTCCAGGGCCCACGCATCGCACAGAATGAGAGCGGCCGGATGTTGAGAGTCCTCCTCCTCCACCTCCGCGTCTCCAGGCTCTTGCCCCCGCGACTCCAGCTCCTACCCACACGACTGGCACCCGTGTCCATCTCTCCGATTCCGGCGCTCCTCCTTCGGGTTCTTGCTGCAGTCTCTCCGATTCCGGGGATCCCACCTCTACGACTCCGGTTCCGCATGGTTCGAGCCAGCATGAGATCAGCGACAGCAGGACGATGTTGAAGAATATCTTCGGCGCAGGCTCGGGTCGGGCGAAAGGGGGGGTTTGGGAAAGGGGGGGGTACGAAATCTGCTGCATGCAGCTGGTTTCGGCCCCGCCGCCGTGCCCATTCCTCGATACATGGGCGCCTCCCGGCGCCGGGAGGCGCCTGTAAAATCAGCTACGTGAGCTGATTCTCCCCCCCCCCTTTGCTATTCCCCCCTTTCGCCCGGCCCGACAGGCGCGGCTGGATTCACCATCCCAGACCGAGGCACGTGCCTCTTCGGCTCGGCTCCCGCGTTCTGCCCAGACACGGCTGCACGGCTGCGGTGCGCGCTCCTCCAGCTCCCTCCTCCTCCCCACTCCTTTTTGTTGGGCTTCCTCTTCCTCGTTTTTGTCACTGACTCCTTTTGCCCTCCTCCTCCTCCTCCTCCTCCTCCTCCTCCTCCTCCTCCCTTTCGCCCTCCCTTCCCCCTCCATTGTGCCCCTTCCTCTCCTTCCCTCCGCTCTTGCTTCTGCTCTCTGCCCTTGTCGAGGCTGGAGGATCGAGGCCGTGTATTTGTTGGTCTGGTCTGGCGGGGGGGGGGGGAGAGACGTCTCGTCACCGCGGCTGGCTCCGCCTCGAGATGCTGGTCGGGGCGTGCCTCGGGGCAGGTTGCCTGGCAGATTTTGCCGGGGCTCCCGCCACCTCTCCTCCCCAGGAGGAGGAGGAGGAGGAGGAGGAGGAGGAGGAGGAGGAGGAGGAGGAGGAGGAGGAGGAGGAGGAGCGGTTCTTCCTCTTACTCCTTCCTCCCTCCCTTGCTCCCTGCTCCTCCTGCCTCTTGCCGTGCTCCCCTCGTCGTGCTCCTCCCTGAGCTCGCCGCTCACGCCCTCCCCCCTCCGACCTGCCTCCGCCCGTTTCCTTCTCATCCCCGCCGTCCTCGTCCACCTCGCCGTCCTCATCGCCATCCTGCGCCCCCTCCCCTCGTCCTTTTCGTTCCTGCTCTTTCTCCCACCTTCTGTCCCCTCGCTTGCCCATACCCCGTCCCGTTCCCCTCCTCTTCTTCATCCGCATCCCTCCTATTTCTCCTCATCCTCCCTTTTTCCCCTCGCGTCTGCTCATCATGCTAATGTTTCCTTGTATGCCTCTTTCTCTTTCTGGCCTTCTCTGTTTCTCTTGCTTGTTGCCTGGCCCTACGTGAATATGTGTTGTTTTGCGTTTGGTAGTGTCTGTTCTTTTGTTTTCTCTGTGTCTCGCTTCTGTCCATCCTCCTCCTCCTCCTCCTCCTCCTCCTCCTCCTCGTCCCCGAGCGTCCGAGTCAGACTGACGAGCGCGCGGACAGGTGGACCGTCAGGGCAGATGCACGGAAGGGCTGCACACACAGAGTTGTGCGTCGAGGGGGGGAGAGGTGGAGCGGGACGGAGTGAGTGAGACGCCCAAGATGGCCGTCAAGACGGCGCTGAAGCGCCCCAAGAGGCCCCCAAGAGACCCCCCGAGACGCCTTAAGACGGCGTCTTTGGGGCCAGGAGCGCCCTGAGACGGCCAAAGAGGCTCCCCAGCCCCCGAACGCCCCAGGAAGCGCCCAGGAGGCCCCGCGAGTGATTGGGCGTGTCCTCGGGGCTCCGCCCGGTTCCCCTGTGCGGCTCCTGGGAGCCTCCTCGGGCTTCCTTGAGGGGCCTCCCCGCGACCAGCTCCGTGCGCCGAGGGCGGCCCAGCATGGCTTAGCTCGAGAGACCTCCGAAAGTGGCCGAGGGGCTACCAGGCGGCCCGCGATCGCTTCGAGAGGGTCCAGGGTGGTGCCGAAGCGACCCAGGAGGCGAGAGGGATGAGGAGGAGGAGGAGGAGGAGGAGGAGGAGGAGGAGGAGGAGAGGAAAGGGAAAAGGAGGAGGAGGAGGAGGAGAGGAAAAGGAAAAGGAGGAGGAGGAGGAGGAGGAGAGGAAAAGGAAAAGGAGGAGGAGGAGGAGGAGGAGGAGGAGAGGAAAAGGAAAAGGAGGAGGAGGAGGAGGAGGACCCCCGATACTCGTCGAGAGGCACCCTCAAGCCCCCAAGAAGGCCCAGGAGGCCGAGCGGGCTTACCTTTTCCGTGCTTTTCAAGGATCTTGTGGCACGTTCGCGTCGTTCCGACTGGCGGCGAAAGCCCGCCGCCGGCTCTTAGCGGCACCGTAACGGGTACTCACCGAAGGGTCTTTTGGTGGAAAACTGCCGGACGTTGACATTTTAGGCTTAAGTCGGGCATGTCCTTCTACAGGAGGAATATCAACAAATTGTCAAACAATAGTCAGGGGACGATTTTTCTGGTATTTCTGAATATTTTTTTAATTTATCTCTCAAAATCCGCCTGTAGGAGGGCATGCCCGACCTACGTTTGGGCCTCTTTCTGGCACTGCAGCGTTGCCCACATCGGGGAGAGTTGGGTTCGCCGGGTCGCTGGTCAAAGTACCCGTTCTCGGAGTCCCCGTTAGAGGGGCGCTGATTGGCGTTCAACTTGGAACGCCGCCGGCGACCCACCATCTGTTGATGTTGAACGATCTGCCGTCTCGGACACGGCCCACCGTCCAAGGTGAAACGATCCCCGCGGTGTCAGAAACCACCGCTGGGGTCTTCACGACGCGAACCTGCCGTACAGTCAACCAGCATAGAAAGGATGAGCTCATTTCCAAGGTTACCCTTGCATGCTTCCCCTTCGGCCCGTCCTTGGCCGCTTTCCTTGGCCGCTTTCGCTGGCCGCGCCCCGCTCGCAAAGTGTCGACATGGCCTTCCAAGGCCCATTGCATCCTGATCGTGTGTCCTTCTTGTGCTGGTTGACTGTAGCGGTCTTGCCTCTCGTCGGACGCAAGACGGGCCCTGGAGGCCCCCCAAGTCGCCCCAGAGTGGCCCAGGAGGCCCCCAGGATGGCCCAAGAGGCCCCCAAGACGGCCCAGGAGGCGCAAGGGCCCCCCAAGCCGAGACTCAAGAGGGCCCCGCGACGGCCCGGGACGGCCCAAGAGGCCCGCGGCGTCAAGCATCGCCTACATTTCTTGGGGCCTGTGCCCCAAATGCGAGCACGCAGATCGCTGCTGCAGGGAACAGAATAGGAGTTCAGGGGCAAGGTGGTGCTCGCAAAACCAAAGGCGGCCCAAGAGGCCCCCGACCGAGACGGCTCAGAGGGCTGCAAAAGCCCCCGCGAGGGTCCCAGTTTCCCCGACCTGCCCCGAAGAGCCTGTGGACTGGTCGCGAGGGGCACTCGTGACTCCTGCCAAGGTTCGCTGCGACCATCTCCTCGTCAGCAGTCCTCAGGATACACTCGGCACCGAAACTGGTTGGACTGAGCCAGTTGTGGCACCGACCGCGGCTCTAGGGGGACGATGATGATTATGATGATGATGCTGATGATGTTGACGATGCTGATGATGCATATGATGATGATGCTCATGCTGATGCTGCTGCTGCGGATGATAATGCTGATGCTGATGCTGATGATGATGATGATGATGATGATGATGATGCTGATGATGATGAAGAGGAACCTGATGCGGATGATGATGAGGATGACAATGATGAGGAGGATGATCATGATGATGAGGTTGATGATGATACTGATGATGATAATGGTGATGACAATGATGATGAACATGAATATGAAGATGAAACTGACGATGATGCAAATGCTGATAATGATGATGCCGATGTTGATGACGATGACGGTGACCATGTTGATGATCATGCTGATGTGGTTGATGCTGATGCTGATGATGGTGCTGATGCTGATGATGCTGATACTGATTATGCTGTTGGTGGTGATGATGATGTTGGCGATGACAATGATGATGAGGGTGTTGATGCTGCTGATGATGTTGATGCTACTGGTGATGATGCTGCTGATGCTGATGATGCTGAAGATGATGAAGAGGATGAGGATAATGATGGTGATGATGATGGCAATGATGATGCTGATTAGGACGATTACGACGAGGTTGATGATGCTGATGATGATGCTGCAGATGATGCTGTTGATGATGATGAGGAGGAGGATGATGGTGAGGATGAGGATGATGGCGATGATGATGCTGATGATGCTGCTGCTGATGATGCTGCTGATGATGATGATGATGTTGCTACTGCTGATGATGATGATTATGATGATGATGATGCTGCAGATGATGATGTTGTTGTTGATGATGATGATGATGATGATGATGATGATGATGGTGACGAGAAGGAGGAGGAGGAGGAGGAGGAGGAGGCGGATGAGGAGGACGAGGATAAGGACGACAAGGAGGATAAGGCTGAGGTGGACAGGAGAGGTAGGCTTGGGGAGTATCAAGACTGGGTGGGGGGCCTGGATCATGTAACGAACGGGAGGTTGAGTTCTGCACAGAGCATGGGCGAGAGGTGGCGCGTAACCACAGCCATTTTCAGCAGGGGCGGACGTGGTACCAGCTCGTCTTTCTGCCATCGTGCGAGGAAGAGAGGAGGGGGGACGAGGGAGGGAGGGAGGAAGCAGGAGCGCGGGAGCAGAAGGGACGAGGAGGAGGGAGGATGGCTTGCGCGAGCAAAAAGGAGAGGGATGAGGATGGCAAGATGAAAAGGGTATGAGAAGGGTGGGAGAAGGCGAGAGCAGGGATAATGATAAGGACGCAGGATGATGGAGTGAGGGGACGGGACGGTGGGTTGGGTCCTGCCCATGCTCCTCTTCCATGCTCCTCCCTGCCTCCCCTACGGGTGGGAAGCCACATGCTCTTTGTCCTGTAGCAGGCTGAATGTACCCATCGGTCGTTGAAAGCATGTATTTCTGGATTCCCGGATTCCAGTCTACTTCAAGGATCGAGTGGCTGCACCTTTTCCGTCCTCTTCAGGAGGTGGGTGGACACCCAGTCCAATTCCAACGCCTTCTTGCTTCGTGCGTCTGCCTACTTCGTCCGACCGATGGGCAATGTACGAGGCATGGCCACAGAGCACGCTCAGTCCGCGTGGCACCAGCCTGCTCTCGTGCCCTCGCCAGCGTGCGAGCTTCTGCCTGCTCTGCCCAGAGCCGGGCCGGCGTGCCCTGGAGCGCCGCGCCCCCGCCGTGCTCGCACCGCTGCTCGGGGCGGCCCCGGCCTCGTGCGTCGGCCGGGCAGGGATCAACAACTCGTCCGGCAACGCGAAGATGAACCGCATGGACGAGGAGGACGCACCGCGCCCCATGGCAGGAATTGGAGGAGGAGGAGGAGGAGGAGGAGGAGGAGGGTGAGGAGGAGGAGGAGGAGGAGGAGGAGGAGGAGGAGGGTGAGGAGAGGAGGAGGAGGAGGAGGAGGAGGAGGAGGAGGGAGGGTGAGGGGGAGGAGGAGGAGGAGGAGGAGGAGGAGGAGGAGGAGGAGGAGGAGGAGGAGGAGGAGGAGGGGGAGGACCCCGACATCCTCCGATCTGTTTTTTTATTGTTGTTATCCGCGGCCCCAGAGGCCCCGACCCTTTCCCGGGCTTCCTTCCCAGGGGGTGGTCGTACGGATCCTGGGGCCGCCAAGAAACGATTCAAGCTGAAACGTCAGTTCCTGGAGAGGGGTCCAGACCCTAGGGCGACCGCGAGGGTTCGAAGTTAGTCGCGCTGCGCGCTTCGCGTTCTGGGCGATTTCAGAACCAGGCGCAAGTCCCTCAGCCTGTTCCGGGGGGGGGTGGCGCGAAAGCGCGAAGATAATCGCGCTTCGCGGAACGCTAAGCGCAAAGATAGTTGCATTAGGGATCTCTGGGGAGCGGTGTAGGGACAGAACCTCCGAGAGCGTTCGGCAACGCTCTGAGAGAGGCCGCTTCGCCCGACGCATCCTCTGGGACCGCGGGATCTCATCGGATCCCCGCTTCATCCCAGTGCGGTGCTGTCCCAGCTCCCGTGCTCGTTTTTTGTGGCTGCTTCTGCGCTCGCCCGCATACCGCTGCTGCTCTTGCTCTCCCCCTCATCCGCCCCTGTTCCATCCAGGCAGCTTCAGGGGTGTGCATATCGATTCCCAATCGCCACTTCTCATAGGAGGAAAAGGTACCCATGCCCGTACCTTTTCCTCGTTTTCGCCTTTTTGGGCCTCCGGGGGGGCCCTCGTCGTCACCGCTGGATTCGCCTCGAAACCCTGGTCAGAAGCACCTCGGGAGCGGTCCGAGGAGTACAGTCGGGTCGCTGAAGAAGGAACCCTTTTCGTCGGGGAGGGGCTCCGCGTTCCTTAAAAGTGTTTCGCAGCCTGCCTCAGGTGTTCCTTCTGTCTTCGATGGGAAATCGAGGTTTAACGTATGGAAAACAGGGGCCTCGTTCCTTGTTTTGGGTTCCGTAGGCCAACGCCCCGACTGCAGCGGCATCGATTGGTCTCCCTACCGTTCCCGCCGCTAAAGGGGTCCGACAGCCCGCCCCGCCCGGGACCCGTCTGGTTTCGCGTTGCTCGGCGAGCCATCGGCGAGGCATCGCCAGCTCAAGCTCGACGTTGCCTCCCCTGAGCTGCCCCCCCCCCCCCCCCAGCATTGCCCCTCCTCCTGCTGCTGTCAGGAGCGAAAGAAGAACGTACACGTACATGAATCCACGCTGGTTTCGAGATTTCGCATTGCGCGAATGGTCGTATCACGCGGCCGGTCTCGCGGGTCAAGGGACCGTGTTCATGTACATAGCTGGGCGCGTCTGTCCTTTGTGGGCTCCCTATGCTGGCGCGCTCCTCCTGCTGCTTCTGCTCCTCCTCTCCCTCCTCCCTCGCCCCCCTTTCTTCCTTGATTGCCGGAGGGCGGTTCGTCCTGCCGTGCCCGCCAGGCGTGTCGGCAGGGCGGGCCGGGCTTTTCGCCTGGGGCCTTCTGCAAGGATGGAGGGGCGGTGGCGTTCAACACAGGTTGGCGGCGCGCAGGGGGGGGTAGGGGGAGGGGGGAAGGCTTCTTAGAAGGAGGCTGCTTCTCAGAAGGCGCCGGCCCTACATTTGTAGACAGGGCCCGCGCCTTCTAGGAAGCAGGGGTGCTTCTAAGAAGCCTTCCCCCCTCCCCCTACCCCCCTCTGCGCGCCGCCAAATAGGGCTCTCGCCTGAGCGCCGCGCACATGTGGCTTGGCAGTCTGCTAGCAGCTTGCTGCAGCCAGAAGGATGGAGGAGGGGTGGCTTCGACATGCGACTCTCGCCTCAGCAACAGGCTGCAAGGCTGGAGGGCGGTTCCTTGTTCAACATGTGTATGTGGATCCTTTCTTTTTGTTATGCTGTTTTATTGCCTTTCTCTCTCTCTCTCTTTATCTGCTCCCCCTTTCTTTTTTCCTCTCTCTCTATATATAATTCCATCCCTCTCTCTCTTTCTTCTTAGCGCCTCGCGCAGTCTCTGCGCCACCCTGCAGCGGCTACAAAGACAGAGGGCGGTGCCTCTTCAACTGCGGGCTGCCCCTTGAGGCTGCCGCAGACCCGACGCCTGAGCATATTGTGCCATGGCTGCGCGGAGGAGGGAGGCCGGCTCCTTTTCAAACACTGGGCTCTCGTTCGCGGTTGCCTCGCATGGAATTCCAGAGCTACTGCATGCCAGTCGTTGAGGAGTGTGGATATCTCTCGGCTCCCCGATCCCAGTCTGCTTTCTCGCTGCCCTCCTACTTCACGACTCGAGGGGTCCTGTTCCCTCTTCCCTCCTCCTCATGGGGGTGTGGGCGGAGACCCAGTCTGCGTTCAACGCCTTCCTGCTTCAGGTTTCTACCCGCTTCTTCCGACCGACGGGTATGCGATAGTTGCACGGTTGGTGGACGGCTCGTTTTTTTAAACGGAGGGCCTCGCTGGACCCCGCTGCATCTGAATCCTGCCTTTCTCGCTTTTTCTCTTTCACTTGCTAGAAGGGTGCACGCACCTCCTGTTCGAGATGGGACATCCGCCCGAATGGAAGGCCACAGAGTGTTCGTCTCTCCAGGGGGTGCTTCTTCTGTACTGACGGGGAAGGCCTGCAGGGACCCGTGAGGAGGGGACCTGGCACGGGAGGGTGTAGTGCAGCATCGTGGATGCATCCTGGGTTTACCCCCTGCTTCTCCTCCTCGACCTCCCCCTCAAGGCTGCGCAACTGTTCGGGACTGCGATGGCTGCTGCTGCCTCCCCCCCCGCACCCCGCGCGCCAGGCCGCCCCCTCGCGCGCGGGGGGGGCCCAGGGAGTGCACACCGTGCTGCTGCTGCGTGCCCAGCGCTGCAGCGCTCGAGGCCCTGCGCACGTGCCGGGGCTGCCCAAGTTGGGGCCGAGGTGTGCGGGGTCGGTCGACCGCGCCGCATCTAGGGGGCCACATGCGAACCCTACCCCTACCGCCCACGATTTCTGAGGGGGAGGGTGGGGTTCACTTCGTTCGGGAGCTCCCAAGCGAAGTGAACCCCACCCTCCCCCTCAGAATCGTGGGGGGTAGGGGTAGGGTTCGCATGTGGCCCCCTAGCATCACCGGGTGCATCGGCGGTGCGCCTCGGTGTGGAGTCGGGCTCAGGAGGCGGGGGTCCTTGCAGACGGGGGTCAGCCAGAGCGCCAGCTCTTGAAGGATCCTGCAGAGCCGGGGGTGCACTGACCCAGGTTTGGGTGCAGGATGATCCTGCAGGCTCTTGCGGGATCCTGCAGAGCCTGACTGGCCTGGGTCTGGATTGACCCAGGCCAGTAGATCCCCGACGAGGTGGACGTGGCCGGTGGGCCGCGCCGCATCACCGGGTGCATCGGCGATGCGCCTCGGTGGGGAGGCCGACTGTCTCTCCGTCGCTGGTGCATCGGCGACGCACCGCCTCCGCATCGCCTCCGCAGCGGCGATGCGGCGCGGCCCTCCGACCCCGTCTACTTCGGCCCCGGGTGCTGGCGGCGGGGGAGGCCGTCTCAGAAGGAGGCGGGGCTCCTCAAAAGCCCTCGCGCCTTCCGAGAAGCCGCCCGCGGCTTCGGAGAAGGCCTGCAAGTCTCCTCGGGAGGCGCGAGGGCTTCCGAGAAGCCCCGCCGCCGTCGGAGCGGCGCCACAAAAACGGGGTCGTCTGCGCCGACATTGGCGCGTACGCTGCCCGCGTGAGGTCGCGCGCAGGCCCCCTTGCTTCACGTGCGGCACGCCGCGCCGGCGGCACGCGTCAGCCACCGCGCAGCATCGCCACGCCATCTCGCGCAGGCCCCCTCTTTGATCGTCGCTCCTCCGGGACGCTCTCGCTTCCTCTCGCTTCCCCCCCCTGGGCTCGCCGCGCCGAATCTGGGCGGCCTCCAGCACGCCCGTGGCGCCGCACTCGCGCGGCGACGCGCTCGCGCGCGCGCGCACCGCCGCGCGAGTGCGGCGGTGCGGGGTGCGCTCTCTCTCTCTCTCTCGCGCTCTGTATGGGGGCGGCGTGCGGCAGCCCCACGGGCAGCGCCACACGGGCGCGAGGCCCGCGGCAGGCGCGCACAGCGAGGAGGTCGGGGGCCCCAGGCTCCGTATAGTGAAGGCGGGCCTGTCCCTCTACGGGGGGGAGGTTATTCCAGAGTAGTAGAACATAGCCTGGGGACGATTTTTCGCGCTTTCGTTTCTGATTATTCTTGACAAGTGTTTGATCTGTTATCTGTCTTCCAAAGCCCGCCTGTAGGAGGGCATGGCCGATCTAACAGTAGAACCAACGCGCATAGTCAGGCCGCGCGCCTGTTCTAGGGTACCTTCGTGTCCCTACCTCTGCGGCCCTTCCTCTGCCATGTCCACTGGCCAGCCTCTCAGGGTACCCTTTGGTCGCCCGCCGCCGAAGAAATACCAACCTCGGCCTCCAAGGGTCCTGCGTCCTTCCACCCGTCATCATGGGGAAGCCTGGGGACGAAGCTTGCCAGCAGTTCCTGTTTGTTTTGAGCCGTGGCTCGCTGTCGGTGCCAGGGGGGGGCCATTTGAGACAGGGGAAGAGCGCCTGTCCAACAGCGGCTGCTGTCGGTTTGGGGTAGCACCGGTTGTTGGACATTTAGGGCGAATAGAACAATGCACATGCACAGATCTTGGTAAGGCCCATCTTTGACCCAGGATCGGTGCATATGTTTTCCTGGCCACTGTAGGAGGGCGCATGCACCGATCCTGGGCTCAGGATGGGCCTGGCCAGAATCGGTGTATGTGCATAGTTCTCTTTCCTCTAGCATTGTTTGCGTATCGGGCGTCCCAAGAGATGACCCACCACAGTGCTGAGAACCCTGGTCCTCGATCCTGCTCCCTCCTCGTCCTCTTCCCCATTTCCCTCCCCTTCTCCGTCTTCTCACCCCCCTCCTCCTCCTCCTCCTCCACCTCATCCTCCACCTCCTCCTCCTCCTCCTCCTCCTCCTCCTCCTCCCCTTTCCCTCTCGCTGACCCACTGGAGGCCTCCAGAGGCCTAAGGACCCCACTCCGTGCAAGCGCATTCCACCAATTCGACCCTTGCCTCGCTCCTCCTCCTGCGCGCGCTTCCGCGCGCGTCGCGCAGGCCGCCTTCGAGAAGTGCTTGGGCGACCTGGAGGCCCCTTGCGTCTACTTTGGTACTGTTTGTTGGTGTCTTTTCGTTGTCTCTCTCTCTCTCTCTCTGTCTTTCTTTCTTTCTCTCTCTCTCTCTCGTGGGGCCTTCCTGAGGTCCCCCAGGGGGCAGGGACAAATCAATCGTATTGTTTTTTGCGCATGCGCAGTTGCTCTGGAGTGGTACCTGCACAGGGATAACGCATGACGAGTCGAGTTTCTCTGCGCTGTCGCTGCCAGGGAGTTTTCAGGAGCACTCGAGGAGCCCTCTTGGGGATGTTTCGAGGGCTTCGGCTTCTCCTGCCGGGACCCTTTTGTCCTTGTTGTGGTTCTCTTGGCCCATTTTGGCAATCTGTAGGACTCTTGGACTCACCCGAGGCTTGACCAGCGAGATATCAAACAGTTGAAGGACACAACTGTAAGGTATGATGCTGTGATACTGCTTCTGGCCACGCTGGGGCATCCTTGAGCGGGTCTGTAGCCACTTTGGATACATCTTGGAGCCCATTTTGGGCTTCCTGGGCTCTCGCTGCAGATTTGTTCGAGCCATGTTCGAGACCAGCCTTGGATTTATTGGACCGTCTTTGGCCTTCTTTTTGTTATCTTCGGCTGGCCTGGGAGCATACATCCGCAACCATCTCTCAGAGGGTGGGGGTGCGTATGAAATCAAACAACTGCCCTTCCAAGACGGGCCCAATAATTCGGCTGAAGGTCCCTAGGACTCAGCACTAGTTTAATTTCGGGTTTGTACTTGACTTGCACAGACATTGCTTCGGTGATGACCACAACGCGGACATGTATACTTATGGCGACGGCGGTAACGACCATGGTGATGGTGATGGCCAGGGTGAGGATGATGGTTGTGATGCTAATGGTGGTGTTGATAATGATGGTGATTATACTGGTGTTCGCGATGATGGTGATGATGCCAATGCCGATGATGGCGATGACGACGACGATGACGATGACGATGCCGATTATGCTGTTGGTGCTGATGATCATGTTGATGATGATGTTGGTATTGCCGATGCTGGTGATGCTGATGACGATGCTGATGACGATCCGACGACTGATCGTGATCTTTATGATGGCGATGGTGATGATGGGGATGATGCTGAGGCTGATAAGGCCGATGTTCATGATGATGGTGATGGTGGCGAGGTGTGGAAGGTGATGGGGATGATGACGAGGTGGTTGTTGATGATACTGATACTGATGCTGATGCTAATGCTGAGGATGACGATGATGATGATTCTGATGATGTTGCTAGTTATGATGATACTGATGATGCTGCTGATTCGGATGATGATGCTTACGGTTGCTGATGCTGTGTTCGTGTGTGTTGCTGTTGATGATGATTCCTGCGATGCTGGTGGTATTACTGCTGCAGCTACTGCAACTGTTGCTGCTGCTGATGATGATGCTGATGCTGATGCTGCTGCTGCTGACGCGGGTGATGATGCTGAGGATGTTGATGAAGATGATGATGATGCTGAGGATGATGATGCTGATGATGTCGATGCTGATGCTGATACATATGGTGATCATACTGAGGATGATGATGATGATGATGCTGATGATGATGATGATGATGATGATGATGATGATGATGCCGATACTGGTGTTGATGAGGATGCCGAGTAGGCTGATGATGACGAGGTTGTTGATGCTGAGGATGATGCTGCTGCTGCTGCTTCTCATGATGCTGGTGGTTGAGGTTTCAGCCTACTTGGTTCAAATGTAGGCGTTTGGTGCTCGGGCTGCCTCCCACCTCCCACTGCCTCCTCCCCCTCTTCGAGCTATGGCGCCCGGATGAGAGGCCAACCAATGCCCCGAAAGCCTACGACTTCCAACTTTCTTCAATAAGGGATCCTGCACGTTTCCCCAGGTTCCAGCTCATGGAACGGCTCCGTCCCATTTCTTAAAGACCGTTGCACTATTCGGTTTGGTTGGAGTCCACCTTCCTCGGTCCAGCAGTGCCGCCCCTCCTCCCCCTCCCCTCTTCCTCCTCCTCCTCCTCCTCCTCCTCCTCCTCCTCCTCCTCCCTCTTCCCTCCTCCCTCTTCTCTCCTCCCTCCCCCTCCTCCCTCCCCCTCCTCCCTCCTCTCTCCTCTCACCTCCCTCCTCCCTTCTCCCTCCTCCCTCCTCTTCCCTCTTCCCTCTTCGTCTTCTCCTCCTCCTCCTCGTCCTTCGTCATTCCTCCTCCTCCTCCTCCTCCTCCTCCTCCTCCTCCCTCCTCCTTCCTCCTCCCTCCTCCCTCCCCCTCCTCCCTCCTCCCCCCCTCCTCCCGTCCTCCTCCCTCCTCCCGCCTCCCTCCTCCCTCCTCCCTCCTTCCTCCTCACTCCTCCCTCCTCCCTCCTCCTTCCTTCTTGCTGCTGCTCTCCTCCTCCTCCTCCTCCTCCTCCCTCCTCCTCCTCCTCCTCCTCCCCTCCTCCCCCTTTCCTCCTCCTCCTCCTTCCCCTCCTCCTCCTCCCTCCGCTTCCCTCCTCCCTCCGCTTCCCTCCTCTTCCCTCCTCAGCCTCCTCCCCCTCCTCCCCTCCTCCTCCTCCTCCTCCTCCTCCTTTCCCTCCTCCTTCCTCCTCCTCCTCCTCCTCCTCCTTCTCCCCCTCCTTCCTCCCCCTCCTCGTCCTCCCACTTCGACAGGCTTGTGGCCTCTAATGTGCGCCGCCTGCCCACGCCAGCTCGACAGGCGTTCGCGGATCTGTGCAATTCAGTGGAAACCCTGCAGTCCTGGCCGTACCAGTTGCTGCAGGCCATCATTATGCTGGAGCCCGAGAAGGCAGGCGACAACAGGGCGCTCGCCCTCATCGCGTGGCCTGTTCGCTGCTGACAGATGATGACTCGACCCCAGGTGGAGGATTGGGCGACAAGGGCCTCCAGGCATTGGGGCGCGGCCCTGAGAGGGTTCTCGTGCCTGAGAGAGGCCCTAGCCAGGGCGCTCCAGACCGAGACGGGCCAACACCCTCGCCATGGCGTCGGCCGTCTGTCTTGCAGACATTGCCCGCTTCTGTTTTTCCCTGGTGCCAGCGTTGGTGGCCACAGCTTGTGAGGAGTTAGACTTCCCCGAGCGGATCCTCGCGCTCGAGCTGCAGATCCACTGCGTGCCCGAGACGGTCAGATAACAGGGGGGCTATGGCCTCTCATGCCAGGCACACGTCTCTATCCTGGCGGGCTCCCGCCATGCCAGCAACCTGGCGCGCGCCGCCGTGTACATGTACGTACAGAGTGCTGGAGTCCGCCACGGCAGTCGCCCCCAAGGACATCAGCACCACAGCCAACGACAGTCAGAAGGTGGTCGATGACATCATTGTCACAGCGACGAAGCAGCTTGCCCACAGCCTCAAGCGCGAAGGCATGGAGCTCGCTGACAAGAGTGTTCTCTTCAGTTTGGATTGGCAGGTGACCAAGAGGAGCGCGACCATATTGAAGGCGTTGAGTGCTGCTATTTCATGTGCTGCAGAGGCGCGTGATCTGGGCATCGGCAGGGCGGCCACATGTGTTACCCGCAGGGCGAAACACGCCGCCAGGAGTGCAAAGGCACACGACATAATGAATGTTTTGGGAAGGGATACGCAAGTTAAGAAAAAAGAATCTATTCCACATGCTGAATCAAGGGGTGGTGCCAACGCTTTTGTATGGAGTCAGAGCTTCTTGCGAAACCCCATTCAACAATCACACAAGCTAGGAGAATCTATGTTTCAGCGATTGCAAGATCGAGGATCGGTCGGTGCACTACACCATTCCTGAGCTTGATTGGCAAGGGGCCGGCACTGGAGGCTTCGAGAGCCCAATTTCGATCATTGCTTGAGTTGTACGCTTATTGACCTGACCTGAAACGTATAATCTTGCGTGCTGGGGCTACGATTTATGCCAGACTGAAGCCCGCGCCCGAGCAGCACACATGGAGACAGAGACGGAGAGCCACGGGCTTACTAATAGTACATTTGTGGGAGGGTTGACGGGACCCCAATTCGGCCACGCGTTGGACCGTCCCCAGAGGTGATGATTGGGAAATGTTTCAGGAGGCGGCAGAGAAGGGCCCGTCCACCATCGTTGACCCCGTCATCGGTGACATCAAGCGCGCCGTGTGGAAAAAGTCGGCGGCGCACCGCGACGGCAGGGGCATGGAGGGCGGAGTCGACGCAAGCGACGCCATCCGTCACCATGCCGACTCCGCAGGAAGGGCCAGCTCCTTGTGGCCAACATCTTCCTCGCCGCCATGACGGCGGGCACCTGGGCACCAGCGAAGGGGCGTGACTTATGCGGCGGCCTGGTTGGCTCGGACAAGTGCAGTTGTGGTGCTCGTGCTGATAACTTTCATCGCATATGGGGGAGCTGCCCTGATCGAGAGAAGCACGCTGCCTTCGCCAAGTCGGAGCACCTGGTGACCATGGCGGAGGCGGGTGCTGTCCATGCCCCATGCTTTTGGCTCAGGGCCCCCATCCGACTTCCTGGACGACCCCGCCCGAGTGCGAGACGCCATGCACGGAGGAGAGGTTTTGCGACCTGGACATTGCACCGATCGAGCCTCACCACGGCCAGCCGTTGATCATCTGGGGCGACGGCAGTGGGGGAGCAGAGTCGGATGATTCAAGATACCGCAGGTGCGGATGGAGCTGGGCCGCACTTGATATCGGTGACCCTGAGAACCCACGCGTGGGAGGAAGTGCCTGCGCCCCTCTCGCGGGCCCTTGACAAATTATCAATCGGGCGGAGTTCGCAGCGTTCATGTCAGCCATCTTGAAAACGCGTGTCCGCTTATAGTATCGAACAGCTTCTCAGCTTTTTGTTTGTTTATAACGGATGGACGAAAAATAGGCGTGCCAGGCCAACCAGCCAGTTGGAGTATTCATGGTGACCTGTTGGTTGAGATAGGCGCAGTCATCATCGACGGAGTAGACAGCAGAATTGACGCCAGGTGGATGAATAGCCACCTCAGCCTTGACGAGTGCTTGCGAAAAGGAGTCCCTTTCTACGACTAGTGCGGCAACGAGGCCGCCGACGCGCTGGCGGGGAAGGCCGCAGAGGCACACCGGATCTCTCCTGCGAGTCTCTCCTGTTATCAGTGGGCTGTCGCTATGTCTGCCTTGATTAGAAATCGAATAGTTCGTGCCACTTTGAGTGTTCTTGTTTATGGGAATCGTGCGCCTTCGGCGAGGCAGGTTAAGATAACCGATTCCCCCGGATAATGCAGAGCACCCCTTCACCTTGCCCCCTGATTGGTTGTTATTCCCGGGTCTGCAGGATTTGATCGTGGAGAAGGGCGGCGAGGCCGAACTTGATTATCGCGGAGGAGCAGTTGCGAATCGACGTTGTTACCTTCTTAGGTTGATTAGCAACATCATCAAACGCGCTGAGCATGGCAATGGGGGTCTTTCCGCTTCAGGCCTGCAGCAAGTGCATGCCGTGCAGGGACGGCACCATAGGGTGCCGATGCTGCATGGGCGAATGGTTCGAAGTGGTACACAAGAGAGGCTTCTTGGCCATGAGCGCCATGGACCTCTCCTGCACAGGCCACCTTTAAGCGCGAACCTCGAGGACGCCAAGAACAGTTTGTGCGAGGATCTACTTACACGAGCGCCCATGCTCGTCATCATCATCATCATCATCATCACCACCATCTTCATCACCATCATCATCCGCCGGGGAAGTCGTTTATCATCCCCCCTTGACACCGAAGTTTTTAACCCCCAGGGGTTTAATATCACGGGTATGGGTTAATTGAGATCCGATCCCAGCCTTTAGCCTTAGCCACCGCGCAGCTGAACTCGCCGCACACCTTCTGTAACAGCAAAGCCATATGGAGTTGTCTTGATTGTCGTAGTTCTGTCAGCTTGTTGTCTTGTAAACACGTTATGGATGTTTGGCCTTCCAGTGAGTGCCCAGGGCTCCCTCCCAACCAACCGCGCCGCACCCAGCTCGCCCTGGGGGCCAGGAGCGGACACGAATCCCACGAACTCGCTTTTTGCGAGCCGTATTGCATCTGTGTGAATGGCGGGCGCAGCGCCTTAGAGGGTAGGGGGTACCTTACAGGCTTCTCGGAGGAATGCACCCCACGTGCCAGAATGGGTCGGTGGGTTTTTTTTGCGCGTTTTTTTTTCAGGGGAGGCCACTCACATCAAGTCCTCCTAAGCTCCACCAGAGCCCTGGCAGCGTCGGTCTGGGAAAGTCCCTGGGAAGTCCTCCTCATTGCCCTCCTCTCCTTCTCTTCCTCCTCCTCCTCCTCCTCCTCCTCCTCCTCCTCCTCCTCCTCCTCCTCCTCCTCTTTCCCCCCTTCGCAACACTTTGCCTCTGCTCGTTGGTACCTCCCCCAAACCCTGGGGAAGGCAGGGCCGTCAGGCATTGCCGGCCCGCCTCCGTTCGACCACGCGTTCAGGGGTAGCCTGTGACACGTTGGTGGGCATTCTGTTGTAGTAGGCAAAGGGGTATAACAGCTACTCTGCTTTGCTGTCAACGCGTAGGTTAGTGGGTCCCGTTAGCCCAGCGTTGCATCGGGAGGGTGGCGTCTCCGGTCAAAGCTGAAGCTCGGCCAGGCTCAAGTCCGAGCGACGCTCGTCGAGCGGGGCCCTTCCTCCAGCCAGCGCGCACAGCGGCCTCTCATTGGCGCTGCCGCCCGAGTTTCTTCTCTTCCCACGTGCTGCGCCAAACCGAGGCAGCCTCCACCTCCTGCCCCCTCCAAACCCGATCGCCCACTCCGCCGCATTTCCCCGTGCTCTTCCTCCCTGGGCATCCGTTCGCCCCTGCTGGTCGGTGCCCCCCCCAAACTTTGGGGGAGGGCAGGGTCGCTCAACCACTAGATGGTGCCTGCTGCGACCGCTGCGCGCAGATTGCAGCCCTCTAGGGAACCGTTTTGGGGGTTGCTCGTTCGGGCCGGCCCCCATCTAGCAGCCCCCACAACAGGCTGCGAGTTAGAGGCTCCCCAGCAATGGGTGTCCCCCATTCGCAATCGCTCGGACTTTTCTGTTCCACCGATTAATTGTCAATGGCTGCCCGCTCGCAGACTTGGAAGCAATGTCAGTGATCCTCCTCCTCCTCCTCTTCCTCTCCTCCGTCTCCTCGTTTTCCTCCTCCCTCCTCTTCCTCCCCCTCCTCTTCAGCATCACCTCACCACTCTCACCTGCTGTGTGCGTCGACCTCCCAGGTGCGACGCAGTCGCGCGCCCAGCTATCGTTTATGAGGTGCTCGCAGGCGGGGGTTTTCGAACCGTGCCGTTCGGGTCACGACATGCTGCGATCTGTTTAAACGATATGTTCGCATCGGACGGGCGCCTCCCTCCTCTTTCCTCCTCCCTCCTCTTTCCCCCCCCCTCCTCCTCCTGCTCCTCCTCCTCCTCCTGCCTCCCTCCTCCTCCTCCTCCTCCTCCTCCTCCTCCTCCTCCTCCTCCTCCTCCTCCTCCTCCTCCCTCCTCCCCCCTCCCTCTCCTTCCCCCTCCCTCTCCTCCTCCTCCTCCTCCTCCTCCTCCTCCTCCTCCTCCTCCTCCTCCTCCTCCTCCTCCTCCTCCTCCTCTCCTCCTCCTCCTCCTCCTCCTCCTCCTCCTCCTCCTCCTCCTCCTCCTCCTCCTCCTCCCCTCCTCCTCCTCCTCCTCCTCCTCCCCCCTCCTCCTCCTCCTCCTCCTCCTCCTCCTCCTCCTCCTCCTCCTCCTCCATCCTCCCTTCTCCTCCTCCCTCCTCCTCTTCAGCTTCACCCCACCACTCTCACCTTCTGTGTGCGTCGCCCTCCCAAAGGCGACGCAGTCGCGCGCCCAGACCACTTAGCTGATGTTCGTTGGCGGGGGTTTTCGAGCCGTACCGCTCGGGTCACGACGTGTTGCACGATGATTGTACGACATGTCCGGTTCGGACGGACGCCTCCAATAAAGGGGGCGCGCGCGCGTTCAGATCTTGTATTTGTGATGCTTGTTGGCATGGGCTTCCGGGTCGTACTGGTCAGGACCACGACTTGCTGCATGATGTTTGTACAGCATGTTCAGTTCGAACGGGCTCCTGCAAGTTTAGGGGGCGAAGAACGGTATCACATAGAAATTCCGCCGTCGGGGACCCGTACCGCTCGGGGCACGACATCAAACACCATGTCTGTACGATATGTTCGGTTCGGACGGGCGCCTCCAATTTTGGGGGGCGAGGAATGGTAGAACGTAAGCTTTTCCGCCGTCGAGGACGCCTGCCCCCCGGGCGGCTGCAAAGTTTATGCTCCTACGGTGCCACGTCCTGGGGGTATAAGCTTTCCAGCCGCCAGGGGGTCAGGCGTCCCCCCCCGACGGCGCACAGTGCTAGTGTGTCCTTCTCTACGTCCCACGTCCCCCGCTCTGGCAGGCTCCCAGTCCCACTCCCGCTCCCGCTCCCGCTCCCGCTCCCGCTCCCGCTCCCGCTCCCGCTCCCGCTCCCGCTCCCGCTCCTTCGGCGTCCCCACACTTCCCGCTCCTGCACCTGGCACGGCGGCCGCCGACCACGGAGCAGCTCCGCCACCCTCCTGCCAAGGGCTTCGGGCTGCAGCCCATCCCTTCTGGCCTCGCCCTCCGTCGATCTCTCCCCTGGCCTCGCCCCTCGTCGGCCCAGCAGCGCCGCTCGGACGGGGCCAGGACGAGGACAAATCCGTGCCAGAGCGTTCCGGAACGCTCTCGGAGCGTTCCGGAATCCTCCGAGGAGGCCGCGGCGCCCGAGATGTCTTGCAGGGCCGCCGGAGATCTCAGAGATTCCCGATCTATCCTCGCGCGAACGGATCCTCGTCCGGGCCTCGTCTTCGTAGTGGAACCGACACTTGGGTCTTCTTAGAAGACAGCGCCTCAGAGCCCCCTTTTCCACCACCGCCACCTCCTGCGGGCCTGCCGCTCCGGCAGGCGTCCCTCGGCAGCCGGCCGCGCACGTGGCTGACGCCGCAGTTCTCGGTCACGGAGCGCACCCCCGAGGTCGCGGCGTCGGCGGGCGTGCAGGCCAGCCCCCGCGCTCCGGCCGAGCACGGCCCCAGGGGGCTGCGCGGCGCGGGCAGGGGTGCGGCCCGGGCCGGCCTGGAAGGACGCGAGTCGGCGCAGCCATGGCAGGCAGCGGGTCGGCACGGTACGATTCGGGGCTCAGGAGGCCCAGACCCCCTCGCGCTGCGACAGAAATCACGGCGGCAAGTTTTTGCTGTTTTCGGCCTCCGGGGGCCCTCGCTGGGCCTCGGGACCGTCACAAAACGACTGCGGATGAAAATCACGTCCAGGGGAATGGATCCAGGATCCCTGGGGGTCGACGTTGCGAGAAAGTTATTACGTCGGGTGTCTGGAGGCGGGGGTCAACGCAAACGGGGTCGGTCAGAGCGCTGGACCTTGCAGGATCCTGCAGTGCCAGGGTCGCATTGACCTGGGCTTGGGGGTGCAGGAGATCCTGCAGGATCCTGCAGGAGTTTGCTGGATCCTGCAGAGCCTGATTGTCCCAGGTTTGGGTTGACCCAGGTCAATAGATCCCCGGTCGGCCCAGACGATCAAAATGGGAGTTGTTTTTATGTCTCGTTTCGCCGATCGACGCTGGCCCCTGGCCCCTCCCCTTGATTAAGCAAAACATGGCCCCTTAACCCTTTGGGAGGGGACCTAAGTTAGGAGGGTTAAGAGTTAGGGATATGAGCCATGGGCTCTTTTCTGCAGATGTATCGAACCAACCGCCCAGAATTATTATCCCTAATGCGACGACGGGGACCGCAGTGAGGACACGTTTTCACTGTGTTATGAGGGTTAGGGGTTCTTATATCCTTGATGACCCTTCCCCCCCCACTCCATAGACCAGGTATTGCTTGCTTTGGGCGGATGCTTCCGGGCGGCTGGTCGGGGCCTCCACCCAAATTCCGCATGCCTAGTTGGGAGAAACAGATCGACTTGTGCACCGGCTCAAACTCGGACCCCCCATCCCCCACCCTTCGGCTTGATGCCGAGACCCAGCTAAAAAAACAGCTCACACGGGTACAGAAAGAATGGGCACAACGACGAGCAGCTCTTCTTGTTATTCTGAGCAGGATTCGCTGTCGTTGTCACGGCGGACATTGTTCATTTGAGACAGAAGGTAGCCTGCCCAACAGCGGCCGCTGTCGGCTTTGGACAGAATTTGTTGTTGGGTATCGTGTGCCCATGTTGTCCGTGCCCATTTCTGGCGTCCAAGCGGGGTTCTTATGTTGCATCTTCGAGGGGCCTCGCCTGCCCTCAAGTCGATGTCTTCCCTTGTGCCCGACGCGGACTCGAAGCGGACTCGACGCGGATTTGGCGTGTGTTCGACCTGGACTCGACGCGGTTTCGACCCGGATTCGTCGAGTCCGATTCGGATTCGACACGGATTCGACGCGGATTGGGGCGCGACGGAACAGGTAAGGTCTCCCGAAGATGCAGCACAGGGTTCAGCGCAATTGGGGCCTAGCCAGAAAATTGGATCCTGCAAGATCCTGTAGTGCCGAGCGTGGGCTGAGCCGGTCTGCGAGCCAGGCGCGGCCCTGGGTGTGACGTCGCATCTTGGCTCGGCTGGGTTGGTTGCAGTGCAGTTTTCTATGAGTCGGTTGAGCCGGCTTTGCGCTGAGCTTGGTCAATCCACGCCCGAGTCGGCGGGAGGTGCAGGTGGTAGCCCAGACCCCTTCGCGCTGTGAAAGGTCATGATGGACGGCTCTGGCAGTCTTCGGCCTATGGGGGCCCTTGGTTTACTACCAGGCCAGGGGGGCCGTCGGAAAACGGCTCGGGGTTTTGAGAAGCCGGCCCCCAGAGCAAGGGGTCCGCATTTCGGGGGAACCACTCTGCGGGGGGACCAAGAGGGTGCTGAGGACCAGGGGGTCCAGATATCATGGTTCTTCCAACACGTCCCTTGGCCCCCCCTGGGCCGCGCACGGGTTCTGTGCCATGATTTGCAAATCCCTCTCTTGGACGCCCCCCTCTTGGACGCCCCCTAAACAAAGAGCGGCATAGTCAGAAGCCTTTCTGAGGTCTGCCTGGTCTCCGGATTTTGTACCGAGGTGCGTGCGGCACTTCCGCCACCGTGCCAGCGAATCATGATGTGTGGTGGCGATTCAAGCGCCGCCAAGAAGGTCGTCACATGTGACGCCTCTCTTCCCTCCTCTTGAAGAGCTCTCGTGGGGACTTTTTGGACGTTCTTGGAGCTATCTCGAGCTCCTGCCTGCTCAGTTTTGGCGGTCCCTCGGGGTCCTCTTGGGCAGTCTCTGGGCCCTCGTGAGCCGTCCTGAGGACCGTGTGTGGGGGGGGTCTCTTGGGGCCCTCGTTGGGCCGTCTCTGGGCCTCTTCGGGTTGTCTGAAGGCCCCGTTGGTACAGTCGGGGCCCTGAAGAAGGAACCCTTTTCGCTGGGGAGGGGCTCTGTGTTCCTTGATTGTTTCAAAGTTTGCCTCGGGTTTTCCTGATGTTTTCCATGGGAAATCGAGGCTGAACTTCTGGGAAAAAGGGGCCTCGTTCCTTATTTAGGGTTCCTTAGGTCAACGCCCCAACGGTGGGCCGTCCGCGGTGCCTCCAGAGGCCCTCTTTTGTGCCAGCTCGGGGGCTCTCGCGGGGCCGCCCTGGGCCGATCGAGGCCTTCAGACGGCCGCCGGCGGACCGACCTTCGACCGCAGAGCGCGGGAAGGCAAGACCGTCGAGCAGCGTGGGAGACTCAGCGGTTGTTGGCCTCTCGGGGGCCTCCTGTACAGTCGGGGCCCTGAAGAAGGAACCCTTTTCGTTGGGGAGGGGCTCCGCGTTCCTTCAAGTGTTTCGCAGCTTGCCTCAGGTTTTCCTTATATTTCGATCGGAAATCGGAGTTTAACGTATGGAATCAAGGGGCCTCGTTCCTTATTTTGGGTTCCTTAGGTCAAGGCCCCGACTGTAGGGCGTCCTGGGGCTGTCTCGGGGGGCCTGCTGGCGGCTGCTCGAGACCTGCTGCGGAGAGGGGTCACGAGGGAGGACGAGGAGGAGGGCCGGAAGAGGTTGCTCGTGGTGGTGCTTGTCGTGGCGATGCTTTGGCACTGATGGTGATGGTGCTGATGCTGGTGCTGGTGCCGAGGCTGATGCTGATGCTGCTGCTGCTGATGACGATGTTGACGACGATGCTGATGTTGCTGACGGTAATGATGCTGATGATAGTTGTGGTGGTGATGAGGATGACGATGATGAAGATGACGACGATGCTGATGTTGATGTTGAATTTACTGCTGATGATTATGATGTTTATGATGATTCTGTAGCTGATGATGTTGATTTTGATGTTTACGATGATGAATATGATGAGGGTGATGATGATGCTGCTGCTGATGATGCTTGAGCTAATGATAGATATGCTGTTTGTGCTGCTGATGATGACCACGATGACGATGACGAGGACGACGACCAGGACGACGACGAGGACAATGAGGACAATGGTGATGGCGTCGAGGACTTCTGATGATGCTACTGAAGATGACGATGTCGATGACGATGACGATGATGATGCTGCTGATGATGATGGTGATGATGCCAATGCTGATGATGACGATGCTGATGGTGATGATGATGATGATGGTGGTGCTGCTGATGATGACGACGACGATGACGATGGCGATGACAATGATGATGATGCTGATGATGATGCTGATGATGACGATGCTGTTGTTGATGATGATGAGGATGATGATGAGGGTGCTGATGCTGCTGATGATCATGCTAATGATGCTGATGCATATTGGGAATGGAGCTGTGGTCAGAGGGAGCGGCTGCCTTGGGTCCGGTACATGTGCAATCTGCACAGCGTCGGTTCTGAACAATCTTGGTCGCACATGTCACGGGTTTCAGGTTGTTTGTTTTGTGCCAGCACAGGCGGACTGGGCAGTGTGCGTGTGTGTATGTGTGTGCGTTTATGTGGTCACGCTGGCTCTTTTTGCAGTGTTAGAGTGCCCTCTCTGTAGATTTTCCTGGACTTCGTCGACGACGACGTGCCGTACGACCTCGTCCACACCCCCAGCGGCAAGCGCATGCTGTGCGTGCCCTACTGCATGGACCGTCCAGCATCCTCTCTGAGGGCCGCACAGTGATCTCGTGAGCAGGAAGCATATCCGTATCCACGGCCTGCCTGGCTTGGCTCCTGGGCCACAAGCCCATGGACACGGTGCATTCTTCGCGACCGCGTATCCACGGGATCGGGCCCTGGGATCCAAGTCGCAAGGACGTGGACATGGACATGGTCGCCGATCGGGACAATCGATGCTCTGAGAGTGCACCGTGAACCAACACGAGCAGACACCAGGGAAGGGCGCAGTCCCATAGTGTGCAAGGGAGGACGGTCGGCTACGTGAGACATGGAGAGCAACCATCAATGATCTTTACCACTTTCACGACGAGGTCTTTTTAACACGTAGACTCGAACGTGACCAATTTTTGTCGTACAGTCGGGGCCCTGAAGAAGGAACCCTTTTCGGTTGGGAGGGGCTCCGTGTTCCTTAGTTGTTTCACAGCTTGCCTTGGATTTCCCTTAGGTTTTCGATATGAAATCGAAGTTGAACTTCTGGAAAAAAGGGGCCTCGTTCCTTATTTAGGGTTCCTTAGGTCAAGGCCTCGACTGTACAGATTGCAGACGGGCCGCCCTGACCGCCCAGCGCCTTGACGAAGCCGCCGAGGGGCGCCCCCACGAGCGGCCCCCCGGGGGCAAGAGCGCCCGGGGCGTCCTCCGGGAGAGGCGGCCGCGGAGGAGGTGCGTGCGCGAGCTCGTCTTCCGTGCTCGCACTCCTCCGCGGCCTGCGCCTCCTCGGAGGGATGCCCCGGGCATCGCTCGGACGTGTGCATGTTTCCTTCGGCGACGACCATCGAGGAGCATCCTGGATCATTTGGCGAGAAAGCCACGCACGAAACCGAAAAAACACAGGGAATGGACGTCCGAGCGATGGCGAGATGCCAAGCCTATGCGTCCCCGTGGCAAGAAAAGTTTATACCAAACATGGCACGGGGACGGAAGCGGAAGCGTTGTTGGAACGCTGGTCGGGGCTCTTCGCATTCAGTGCCATCCGCCTGCCAAAGCTACGAAACACCATGGGAGGCCCACTGTTTGGTGCACCGCAGGCGTCCTCTTAGGGTTCAACTCAGAAGACTTGAGTTACAATCACCATACGGCCCGGCGAAGGGTCAAGTAGGAACAACACCTGGGCATGAAGTGGCATCCGCCTCCCAATTTTGCGCGCAAGCCAACAGAAGACATGTCGATCACCTGCCCTTGGTGCATTCCTGTGCACGCTGCCAACATTGAAAGGCAAACATCACTTGATGATCCTCTCCGTAGCCATTTTGGCTCAAAGCTGCTTTGGCTCAAGGCTCAAACCATGTGTTGGTCCATTGTTGCTGCGCGGGAGTTCGCACAGCCGCATTCTCAACATACGTGTTATAGAATCGGCAAGTTGAGGGCCACAGGCATCTAGCAAGTTGCCCAGCGATGGACTATGTGATGATGGAACGCCGCTTCTCTGAGGAAGATCTTTTCCTTTTGTACGCCAGTCTACTCGCACTACAAGAAGTTGGGCAGGATTATTCTGCAGATTTCGCCAAACATCTCAGCACCACTGTAGTCAAAGGCGTTCTCATGCAACAGATTATCGGCGTCAACAGGACGGGCATCGTGAAGGGAGGGCTCGTCGCGACTCTTCAGAAGCTCGGGATGAAGGGCTTGGGCGGTGTGATTCCTGTTGCGACGGTGGTGGCAGGTGTAGCCAGCGCGGTGGCAGAGTCCTACCAGGATTGGGTTGACGCTGAGGATGTGGCCCGTGTTCTCGTCAACGCATCGCTACTTCCTTCCAGCTCGGAGTTGGATGAGATATTGCTCAATGCTGGGTGGAAGAAGACCAGGTTTTGCACCAGGGTGATGGAGGTTCGCACTGCAGCACGGCGTTCTGTAAGAGGTCGCCAGTCTGCGTCGGCGGCAAAGGATCTCGGAGTTCAAGCCATGTCGGCAGCTGCACAGTTGGGAAAGAACGCACCGACCTGGAGCATCAGAGACCTGCTCTGGACGGGCAAGAGTACTGTTGCATACCTAGGGAAAAAAGCACATGCGGCAGCTGACACGAGCATCAATGACTTGCTCCAGATGGGCAAGCATTGGCGCAACACCAGCGAGGGGCCCAAGTCTGAAGGCCCTGGCGCATCTGGGCCTGGTTCCGAAAGGAGGCGGATTCTGCTAGATCTGCTGCGCGATTTGGAGGTACGCCCTCGTACTGACTCCGAGGCCGTGCATCTGCGCTCGAAGCTCTGACTCTGTGCGCTGATGGTGTCCCCCGTGCTCACACGTGACGAAAAAAAACATCACTTGATGATCCTCCTGTCGGCGTTCTCTTTGGCAGATCATTCAAGATGATTGGGCTGTGGCTTTTGTTATAAATTGTTTCCCGGCTGTGTACGGAGAAGGTCCGTGCGGAGTGTTCGGTCCCTGTCCAGGCTTACTCATTCTAGACATAGCCGACCTGATTGGATGCTGAGAGGTGTTCAGTCCAGGTGGAGTAGGTCTGCACTGAGTGCTCGGCCTCCGTCTGGGCTTCCTCAGTCTGGCCTTGGCCTCTCCAGACCCTCCGCCCCGTGGAGTCACGGCGGTCC